TCTTGCAGTACCTTCTTGCAGTACCCTCTTGCAGTACCCTCTTGCAGTACCTTCTTGCAGTACCCTCTTGCAGTACGGATTCGATCACGATTGATACGGACAGGCGAAAGACGTGATACGGTACGAGCAATACGATACCGACACTACGAGTGTTGTACAACACCTCGGACAGGCCCTGCCTATCAGGGTCACCCCAAGGGCAAGGAAGCCTGCCAACGCTCGAGAAGCTGCGATACATCAGCGACGACAACAACGGCAACGGCAATGGCAACGGCAACAGCAGCGACGGCAGCGGCGACGGCAGCAGCGACGGCAGCTACAGGCCACGAGGTGCGCTGAACATGAGCTACGAGCAGAGAGCCCAGACGTAACACCCGCGCGCTGCCTTTGGTGGGGTTCCCGTCACTGTCTCTGCAAGGCCCACTGCCACTATCCCTGATAGGGTCAGGACCTCTCGATGCTTGGGTCCCGCTCATAACGCTGTGATATGATTCATGGTTTGGCCTGTAGTCAATCCGTACGGATGACTGCTACCTGAGGTCCATCCATCCTGTAGGCCACCACCGTACAATGCACGCGCGAGCATGCAGTGTGGCATGTACGTGCACCGCCCACCCCCCCCCGGAACTCCACTGGAACCTCACTGGGACTCCCCTATCCGTAGGTACCTGCCTGCCCGAACCCCGTACATGTACGGGTCCGGTACCCTGCAGCCTGGACCCGACCAAATCTTGGTTCGCCTTGCCGCCGCCTGTCTCTTCCAATCATCCTTCTGTGCCTCTCGGTCCCTTGTCCTCCTTATCCCCTGTCCCCCTGTCCCCTGTCCCCTGTCCCTTGGGGGGCCTTGGGGCCTTTGTCTCGAATCCACTCATCTTATGCCACCCTCCTCCACCTCTCTCTCTCTCTCTCTCTCTCCCTTCCCCTCCATTCCTCTCATAGAGGCCTCGAACCCTTTCAACCTCTCTTTTCTCTTCCCTTCCAAATCACATCATTTTTTCCCTTTTTGTCTGCTCTCTTGTTCAATTTTCCGCCGTTCATATTCATAACTGTGGTTTTTTTATCATTATCATTATTATTATTCCATCTCACATCGTCATCCCAGCCACAGCGGCTCATTCGCTCACTCAGACCATCTTCTCTCTTACTCTTCGAGTCACGCTCACTTTTTCTTGACCGTCAACACCCTGCACTCTACCGTCTACCATAGCGCCTTTTCCGACACATCTGATACAATCCTCGCATCGCTTGCTTCCACAACCCAGAACAGCCAATACACCCACCAGCCACCGACATAACCCACATGCACAATCCTGTGCGCGCGGAAGCCACCTGATCCGCTCTGCTTGGCTCTGTTCCCGGCTGGATCCAGCGATATCGAGCGTACGGATAAACATACAGGTCTCGCCGTCGTTTTACTGCCACGGCGGCAGACATACCGAGCAAGGCCTGCCCGCCCATCTCAGAGGGGGGGGGGGGTTTCCAATCATATCGGCATGGGCAGAGACTTGTAGCCGTATGCACACGCGACATCTCTTCTTCTTCCTTCCTGCTTGACTACGACACGCAAAACCTGTTAGACTCGATACCTCATACCAGTGTAGTCTTTACTATCCAGCACAGAGAGGCGCTCTCATCCCGTCTCTCCACCAAAGCATTGTCGAACCTTCGCAGGCGAGGGGACGACTGATGCTCACGGCTGGTCCGAATCACCACGACTAATCATCACCCGACGGATCGAATCGTCTCTCCCTCCCTCCCTCCCTCTCTCTCTCCCTCTCTCTCCCTCTCTCCTTCTCCGTGTACATTGTTTTTTTTTTTTTAAAAAAAAAGAAAAAAGAAAGAAGAGTAGCATATAACGAACCTCGACTCAGAGAAGCTCAGACTCGGTCGTCAAGATGGGTCTCCTTAGCCGCCGCCAGAAAAAGACCGAGTTCAACGACTTGAAATGGGACTACATCACCCTGTCCGATTTCAAGGCCGCCGGTATGGGCCCCGGCTTCGCCTACGCCTGGTTGTGGGCCATGCTCATCCTCTCGGTCGCCGTCTACGCCCTGGACAGCTTCACCGCCGTCAACCTGCTCATCTTCGACAAGTGGTCCTCCAACATCGAGCCCGGGATCCCCCTCAAGGTCTCCAAGTGGATCTTCTCGGGCTGCATCATCCTCTCCTTTCTCAACCTCGGCTACGAGGCCGTCCGCGCCGTCCGCGTCATGAAGCGCCGCAACGTCGCCGAGTGCTACCTCGACTCCCTCGCCGTCCGTTGGGAGTCGGCCCGCGTCGGCCGCGGCCAGGGCTACCGGAGGTTCCTCGTCTTCGCCGAGCTGACAAAGGGCAAGAAGGGTGGCCAGTACGTGGCCCTGTTCACCTACTTCAGCCTCCAGTCCTGGATCCGCGTCCTCATCTGCTCCGGGCCCCGCCAGGTCATCAACGCCTTCACCTTCAAGTCCCTCTACGAGAGCAGGCTGGCCGTCAACGAGTCGAGCGTGGAGGGCTCCCTGTCCACCTTCTTCGAGAAGATCGGCGCCCTCGCCAAGGAGGACTACCAGCAGTCGCTCGTGCTCGGTTCCATGGCCTTCACCCTGATCGTCTGGATCTTCTCCCTCCTCTTCCTGCTCGCCGCCGTGCTCTGCTACATCACCTTCCTCTGGCACTGGATCCCCCGCGCCGACGGCGGCCTCACCGGCTACTGCGAGCGCAAGATCAACGAAGCCCTCAAGAGGATCGTGACCGAAAAGGTCAACGTCGCCCTGGCCAAGGGTGAGCAGAAGCAGATCAAGGCCGGCATCAAGGCCGCCAGGAAGAACGGCCTCGATGCCCCCGACTTCCAGAGGCAGGCCACGCTCCCGACGCTGCCCAACATCGCGCCCGGCCCTCCGCCCTCGGCCGTGATGGCCAGGCCGGACGAGAAGGGCGACTCGCTCCCGGAGATGCCCATGCTCGGCCGCACCAACACGGGCCTGACGCTGCCGGCCTACACCTCGAGGCCCACGAGCCCCGGAGGCATCGAGATGGGTTCCCTCAACGGCAGCGTGAGGAAGCCGCCGCCGTCGCGTACCGGGACCATGGCCTCGGCCGCCTCGGCGCGCGCCTACGACGCCGACACGTCGCTGCTCAGCTCCGCCGCCGAGATGGGCACCGGCCGACCGCCCTCGCCGGTCCCGAGCCTCCCCGTCATCGCCGCCGCCGCCGCCGCAGACTACGGCCGCGGTCCCGGAACCCCGGCCTCCCAGAGGTCGTCGGGCAACGGCCCGGCCGTCATGGGCCACAGGTCCAACATGTCCAACGGGTCATCGTCGCGCGGCGGCTACGGCTACGGCTACGGCGCCGACGGCGGCCCGATGGACCCCAGCAGGGTCGCCAGCCCGGCCCCGTCGGCAAACATCATGTACCAGCCGCGCCCGCCGCAGCCGCAGCCGCAGCCGTACTACAACGCCTACGGCGGCGTCGCCGCCGCCGCCTCGGACGGACGCGCGAGCCCCGCCGGCTCCTACCGCGGCATGATGCCCCCCCTGCAACCGGGCCGGAGCGCGACGGGCCCGATCCCTAACCGGGGACCGTACGGTCCGCCCGCTCCCCAGAGGAACATGACGGCTCCCATGCCGCCGCGCGGACCAGACATCTACGACCGCCCCTCGACGTCGCAGAGCATGAGGGGCGGAACTCCTCAGCCGTATCCGGGTCAGGGTCAGGGTCAGGGTCAGGGTCAGAGTTACGGATATGATGTGGAGAGGAATGCCGGGCAAAGGTATTGGTGATTTTTTTTTTCTTTTTTTCCTCTTGAAAGTTTTTCTTCCGAAAAAAACTAGACTTCTTCTTTTGGGAAAAAGAAGTCTCCCAATGTCCGACCTGATCCACCCCCTCAGCCCGTGATTTTCCTGAGATTCCCCCTGTATTTATTTTTCAATTTTTTGTCAGCCACACACCACACTTTTCCTTCATCGTCATGAGGGATGAAGACGACAGGTCGTCTCTTCTCTTGAATCTTGTATACTCACCCATACAAGTTATACACACTCATTTTTGACCATATATTTTTATTTCTGTATCTACTCATTTTCCAGCATTGTGTCTTTTTTTTTTTTTTTTTACGTGGAGGATGTTAGCTAGGTCTATTTTTATTGGTATTTCTTCTTACATGAGCATGCTGGGTTGGAAGACTTTCCTCGCCGTTGTTTTTTTCTTCTTTTTTTTCTTTCTTATGAATCACATACCCGACACGGTTATACTCGCATACCAACTAGAGTCCCCTTTTTATTATTATTCTCATACTACTCTCATCCTTTTACTGCTCTTTCTTTCCCTCGACCTTTTTCAAATACTTTTTGCGTCTTGACGTCGTGACATTTACTTTCATTCTAGCGTCTCGGTCCAAGTAAACAGATACATGACAAATGACCTGCCGGTTCTGTCTCCTGACTAAACCGTATAACCTTCTTTGCCATATGTTTAGGTGAGTGCATTGTTGTACGGAGTAATACTGATAACCAGGTTACGTCCTGTGTGTTGGGATTATGACATGTACGCCCTTTTCGTTCTGGGGGGGGGGGGGATTTGTCAACCATGGTTCCACGGTTGAGAAGACATATTTCTAAGAATTTCCCGAATAGCTCTTATAAAGAACCGTATGTCTGCTTTGATCCTCTGCCGACGATTCTTCGTCTTTTTTTCTTTTCTTCTTTCTTCTTTACTCCTGATGTCGTGGGTACACGTACACACGCACACACAAGCACGCACGCACGCACACACGTACACGCACTTACACGAGACACCGCGCAAGTAGACTGCGACGCCAACATGGCGTCTAGAATCGAACCATACCACCGAGGCGAGCTGGCCGCCCAGACCAGACTCCGGGTCCACCACGACACCAACCCGGCATTCCGGGGCCTACCGTCCCGCTACGCGCCCCGCCTGGCGAACTCGCCCCCGGCGGCCGTCGGCACCGCCGACGACGACGGCAGACTGTGGACCTCGGTCTGGGGTGGTGGGCGGAGGGGCTTCGCCCGAGCGCTGGGCGGCGGTGGGGACGTGCTGGTCATGGAAAGCCTTGTCGGCGGGCTGGACCCCGTGTCGGGTGCCTTTCTAGGCGGCGGCGACGGCAGCAGGTACGGCGGACAGGCAAGCGGTCACGGCCAGGCTGGTGGGCAGGGAGCACATCACGCCGACCATCAGCCGGTTCTCGTTCACGCTCTCGCAGCCGTGCAGGTGGGCGGCAGGACAGCACGTCACGCTCGATTTCTCGGCGAGGTTGGACGGCGGGTACGCTCACATGCGAGACGGCGATCCGCAGAGCCTAAACGACGACTCCGTCCGGACGTTTGCCGTATCCGCCCCCCCCCCCCCCGTTCCGCCTTCCGGAGGGGACCGGCAGCCGTCGTCGCCGTCGCTGTCTGGAGATTACGGCGCGCAGAAGCGGTCGGACGACGGGCCTCCTGCGGGCGTATCCCCTCGACGGCACGCCGCTGGACGTACCGGTCATGGGGTTCGGGGGTTCGGGGGGATCGTCTCGTCTCTGAGCGGGACCGAGGGGGAGGGAGGTGTTCGCCGCGGCGGGGGTGGGGGTGACGCCCGTCCTCGCTCAGGCAGGAGGAGGGTTCCTCGACGGCACACGGCCGTCCTCATTCCGGCTGCTGTGGAGTCTACGGGCGCAGGACCTGGACTTTGCTACGGACTCGTTTGGGAGGATAGCGGGGTTGGCAGCGGTGACGACACTGTTCGTCACGGGGATAGCGACTGCAGAGGAGAAGGCGGGGGAGGGGGAGACGGAGACGGAGACGGAGACGGAGACGGAGACGGAGGGGGAGGGGGAGAAGGCGGGGGAGGGGGAGAGGGAGAGGGAGAAGAAGAAGGATGAGGAGGAGGAGGATAAAGATGTCAAGTCCAAGGGGCTGTTGGAGACATTGGGAGTGGCTGGGGTGAAGACGAGACGTATCGGGGCTGGTGATCTGGTCGAATTCAAGGATCGAGATGCCAAGCTTTACCTCTGCGCAGCGCCGAGGATGACGGGGCAGTTGACGAGTTGGCTGGAGGGGGAGGAGGTGGTATGGGAGGATTTTGGATATTGAAATCAATTTTTTTTTTAAAAAAAAAAAACCTATTTGAAACTATCCGCTTCTGAATACACTGAATTCCATGGTTGAAATACTGAGAGAGAGAGAGAGAGAGAGAGAGAGAGAGAGAGATTGCAACAAAGAGACTGAAGAATTACAATGAATGTCCACCATGGCGATATATAAACGAGTCAGTGTGTGCTGTCAACTTCCCCGCATTGGAACGGATTTTGTCTCCCCCCTCCCCCCTAAAAAAATTAAAATAAAATAAAAAAAATAAAAAATAAAAAAGGTTTGAAAGAATAAGAGAGTGTCGACGGCGCGGGGGAAAGGGATGAGCGATTATGCCCATGGGCGGGACCTGAATCTTTCCACTTGTCCGACAGACGGCCGACTCCGGGGCTACTCTCTTTCGAATTTTTCTCTCTCTCTTGGCTCTGACGCGTACATGTCATGTACATGCAACGGGATGAAACAAGATGGACGAAGGGAAGTGAGGGAGGGAGGAGCCCTTTTTCCCTTTTTTATTTTTTTTATATAAATTTTTTTTTTTTTTGATCCAGAAGTACGAGTATCGAAGAGTGAGATGAAAAAAATCGTAGTTTGCCTGGGGACTACGTCTTTGCCTAGGACCATGATGACATCTCCAACATCTGCACATACACATACATACACACACACACGAATAATTGCTCTTCCCTGTCTGAGCAGAAAACAGATTATCTAGCTTGGTTGGATACAATGTAAAAGTCGTGAAGCTCCTTATTTTCTCGGATGCAATTGTCCCATCCTCACACACACACACACACACACTCTCTCTCTCTCTCTCTCTCTCGTTCTCTCTCTCCTCCCTCTCCCCCGCTCCGTAATACATCTCATCTCCTCATCTCCCTCTTGACCCTCTCTTCCCCCCCCTCCCCCGCCACTTTCTCCGAACCGTCGCCGAAGCCCACATTTATTGCAACACCATCCTTCATTTTTCGCCGTCAACCGTCTGCGCCACCCCATTTAGCCTTTCTTTCCTTCTTCTTCAGCTCATCCTATTCCGCTCATCTCTTCCCTGCCTCTCCTCCCCAGCTACTTCCCCTTTCACTTCCCTCCATCCCCGTCGACAGCAGATCAGCACCTGTTGTCGGGGGAGTCGAGAGACGATCAGGACCGGACAGAGACACGGTCGCCCATCATGGCCTACGACTTCGACACCGTCAAGAGAATGACACCGGAGGGGTACTCCTTCCCCGCCCACCGGCTCAAGCGAACCTGCGACCCCAATCGCGTACCGCTCGTGCTCGTCGCTTGCGGCTCTTGTATGATCTCTCCCCCCCCCCCCCCCCCCCCCCCCCCCCCCCCCCCCCTCTCTCTCTCTCTCTCTCTCCCTAGATGTATCCGATACCTGCCACGTTGGTCACAGAGTGTTTCTAATCATTGCCGTCGCCGTCGTCGTCAGTCTCTCCCATAACATTTCTCCATCTGCGCATGTTTCCCATGGCGAGGGACCACGCACGCAACGAAGGTACGTCTCTCCCCGGAAGAAGAAGAGAAGAGAAGAGAGAGGGGAGGAGGGATCGGCATGGCCGACGAATTCTGACCAGACACAGGCTTCGACGTCATCGGAGGTTACCTCTCCGTCGTATCCGACGCCTACAAGAAGAGGGGCCTCGCGCCCGCCCGCGACCGCATCCGCATGTGCGACCTGGCGACCGAGAATGCGTCCAAGTGGCTCATGGTCGACCCCTGGGAGGGCGAGTCCCCGACCTACATCCCCACCGCCCGCGTCCTCGACCACTTCAACTACGAGATCAACCACGTCATGGGCGGCGTCGAGTGCACCGACGGCACGCGCAGGCGGGCCAAGATCGTCCTGCTCGCCGGCGCAGACCTGATCCAGACCCTCAGCACCCCCGAGGTCTGGGACCCTCGGGACGTCGACCACATCCTCGGCGACTATGGCGTCTTCGTCCTCGAGCGCTCGGGAACCGCCCTGGATTCGGCCCTGGCCAGCCTGAAGCAGTGGGAGAGTAATATCCACGTCATACGTCAGGCACGTACCGCATACGACCCCCTCCCCCCCCCCGCATGTCTCTCCCTACCGTGCAGAGTGACGGGAGACTAACCCGTTCCATCCAGGTCGTATCCAATGACGTGAGCAGCACAAAGGTCCGACTTCTGCTCAAGCGCGACATGAGCGTCGACTACCTGTATGTCTCTCCTCCCCTCCCCCCCTCCCTCTCGACCTGACCTGATCTGGAAGGAAGAAGGAGAGAAGAGAAGAGAGAGAGGAAAGAGAGGAAAGCATGGCTGACAGATCTGCATAGCATCCCCGATGATGTCATCAGCTACATCTATGAGCACAACCTCTACCGAGACCTCAACCAGACCAACGACGACACGTCCAAGGGCAAGGAGAAGGATACTGTGACCGCGCCTCAGACATCTACGTCCAGCACGGGCTGAAACATGGAGCGTCCCTTCCACGACGTACATCCCACCTCTTTTCTCTCAGGAGAGGGGAAAAAAGAAGAAGAAAACATCTCGACAACGACGACGACAGACGATACCCGTCGTCCACCCAACCCCCAGCACGAAACTCTTCTCATATACAAGAGGCAACCTGTCGCAAGAAAAGGGGGTACAGAGGACGACACATCCAGAATGACTCGACCGACGGATCCGACGACGGCTAGACGGCTTCTCTTCTGCATCACACGACTTGGACATGTCCCATGATTCCGTCCACAGGACGTCATCTTTTTTTTCATCACAAGCGGAATCCCCGGGAAACTTCCTTCACCTTTTGTCTTTTTTCTTCTTCCTTTCTTCTTTTCTTTTTTTTTTTTTTAGGTTTCTTTCTTCTTCCGCACATACACATGCCGAGGCTTGTCTCGGAGAAGAGAGACAGAGGTCCCTTCAGTCCTGGGGAGGAGGAACGTGTGATTATTAGATGAACACAAGAGACCCTCCCATGGTACGCATACAAGATACACATTACAGGATATCCTGCTCTTCATAACAGTCCAAGAGAAAAAAAAAAGATGAAGCTTTCTCGTTCCTCTCGGATAGCTGTCTTCCACCCGAGACGGGAAAGAGATGCTAGATCGCTGTATACGCGTGCGCGCGCCTGGAACGGTGCACAGGGTGTTATCCAGTAGCTTGGGTGAGCTGGTCGAGAAGGAAGGTCGAGTGTCGGAGAAATCTTTTTTTTATTTTTTTTTTCAAAAAAAGAAGAAAAAATTCTACACGTCGAACAAGTTGGGTCGTGAGAAGAATGAATGGCTGAGTCTCGGAGGAATTCTTCCAAAAAAAAAAAAAAAGTTCGTCGCATCTATTCGACCTCTGACCGTGAGGATGACTTATCCAGCTCGATTCTACGTATGATGTCAGGCAAGAAGAAGGAAACGATCGGTGAGCTGATACCAGTAAAGAAAACGGTTGCCTTCCCATATCCGTCTACCCTGCACCGCCGACTCAAGCAGCAAAGCAAATAAGATGAGAAAAACAAGATCAGCAGACAACTCTGTTCCGGTCTCTCTCCTATTACTCTCTCTCGCCCTCTCTCTCTCCCTCTCTCTCACCCAAATTCTCAGATGCCTTCTCCAGATCGTTACTTCTCCCAACTTGGCTCAACATATTATCAGCCTGTAATGATAAGCCGAGGCATTGATTCTCGTATCGCATCTACCCAATTGGGAGTCGCGATACGGCAGCGTGCTCTTTTGCTCTTCCCCGCTCAATAAAGGTGTCGACCACCTGCAGAATCCGGCATGGTGGTCCGTCTTCCCCTTGCTCGTTGGCGCGCCTTGGCCGCCCGCTCACCTTCCTACTGGTCAATCGGTCGAGATAGACGTGGTGCTAGAAGCCGGGGGGGGGGAGGGAGGAGGAAGGGTCCAAGATCGATATCTTTGCTTGAATCAGCGGGAATTTGACAGGTCCCGCTGGAGTGTGCAAGTCGTCTTATCTGAAGAGGGCGGGTGTCTCTCGTCCCCCCCCTCTACCTACTACTTCTCTGAAGCTAGGTCCGTCCTACTCTGTCTTTGCGTCTCTGCTTTCTCTCTCTCGGAGTTCGTTCTCAGAGAAAAAGGGAGAGAAAGAAAAAGAGAGAGAGAAAAGGTGACAGACGAGCAACATGACGAACAAGGTGTCTTCTGCGATTCTGGTCACTGCCGCTTCTGCCGCTTCTGCAGTGTCCATTGCCGAGATCAACGGAAACACGTTCCTCTCGCCGCTGAGGGACCAGAATGTCACGGGTGTGCGCGGCCTGGTGACGGCCATCAACAAGAGCGGCCTCTTCCTGCGGTCCACGGAGCCGGACAACGACCCGGCCACCTCGGAGGGCCTGTTCGTCTACGGGTCCAGGGTGGCCGGCCAGGTCGCCGTCGGGGACGTCATCACCCTCGACGGCACCGTGGACGAGTACAGGAGCGGCGACGGCTACGTCTACCTCACCGAGCTGGGGTCCCCCGCCAACGTCGTCGTCGCCTCCTCGGGCAGCGAGGTGGTGCCGCTCGTCGTCGGCGTCGACACCGCGCCGCCCCCCACCGAGAGCTTCTCCCGACTCGACGAGGGCGGCGTCTTCGGCCTGCCCAACGCCGTCAACCTCATCTCCGAGGTCAACCCGGTGCTCGACCCGGCCAGGTACGGCATGGACTTCTGGGAGAGCCTCGTCGGCGAGCTCGTCACCGTCAGGGACGCCTACCAGGTCAGCAGACCCGATCAGTACGGCGACGTCTGGATCCGCGGCGACTGGAAGGTCACCGGCCTCAATGCCCACGGGGGCGTGACCATGCTCGAAGGGGGTGAGTACACTACACATGCATACATGCTCTTGTTGGAGGGGGGGAGGAAAAGAATAAGAAAAAGAGAAATTCGTCCGAGGTAAAGAGAGAGAGAGAGATGGAATCAGATGGGCTCCTAGGCTAAACGTAAAACCAAATCGGTGTCAGATGCCAACCCCGAGACCATCGTGGTCGGAACACCGCTCGACGGCTCCTCCAACCCGGACGACACCAGGATGGGCGACTACCTCGGCGACGTGACGGGCGTGGTGACGTACGCCTACGGCTTCTACCGCATCCTCCCGCGGACGGCCCTGTCCCCGATCAGGAACGCGACGAGCTCCCACCCGGCCGCCGGCTTCGAGAGCACCCGGTCGTGCGGCGGCATCACCGTGTCCAACTACAACGCGCGCAACCTGGCGCCGGACTCGGCCCTCCTGCCCAGCATCGCCTCGCAGATCGTCGACGAGATGCTCTCCCCGGACATCATCTTCCTCCAGGAGATACTCGACAACTCGGGCGAGACGGACGACGGCGTCACCGACGGCAACGCCACCCTCGCCGCCCTCGTCTCCGCCATCGCGGCCGCCTCGGACGGCGGCGTCGTCTACGACTCCGTCGAGATCCCCCCCCTCGACAAGACCGACGGCGGCGTCCCGGGAGGCAACATCCGCGTCGCGTACCTCTACCGCCCGGACGTCGTGGAGCTGTACGGGCCCAACCTCGGCGGCGCGCTCGACGGCAACGAGGTCCTCGACGGCCCCGTCCTCAGCTTCAACCCCGGCCGCATCGACCCCTCCAACGCCGCGTGGGACGACAGCCGAAAGCCCCTCGCTGCCCAGTGGAGGGCCGTCGACGGAGGGACGGACGGCGCGTCGAAGCCCTTCTTCACCGTCAACGTCCACTTTGGCAGCAAAGGTGGCTCGACTTCCATCCACGGCGATGCCCGCCCTCCCGTCAACCAAGGTGTCGATATTCGTCAGAATCAGGCTGAGATTACAGCTGTACGTCTCCACTCTCTCTCTCTCTCTCTCTCTCTCTCTCATATACACACACATACACACACATATATCCTCTTATCCTTCTCACAGTTCTCTTATTTATTTATTTGTCTGCTTTACTTCTCGCATCATTGAATGAAGAACGAAAGAGAGAAGACGAAAAGAATTAGAAGAGAGAAGAAAAGAGAAGAAAAAAAAAGAAGAGAAAAGAAAGACGTTGACATTGAGATATATGTAAAAATAGACCTTCATCGCCCAGATCCTCGAAAAGGACCCCTCCGCCGCCATCATCGCAGCCGGCGACTTCAACGAGTTCGCCCAGGTCCAGCCCCTGCACGTCTTCCGCAACGTCTCGGGCCTCCTGGACCTCGACGACGTGACGGACATGCCGCCCACCGAGCGCTACACCTACCTCTTCGACATGAACAGCCAGGCTCTCGATCACATGTACGTCAGTCCTGCTCTGGCCGGCGAGGAGGCGTCACGTCCGCTGTACGAGCACCTCCATCTCAATACCTGGCAGAACTATGATGATCAGGTCAGCGACCATGATCCTAGTGTTGCCAGGATTGACGTCTGCTAGTCTTGTGTATGCCATGATGCCTGGTATATAAATTTACCTTATGATTACTATTATCATTATTATTATTATTGTTGTTGTTGTTGTTGTTGTTGTTGTTGTATACGTATATATATATATATGTGTGTGTGTGTGTGCGTGCGTGTGTGTGTACAGTGGCTCAAAAAAAAAAAGAGCCCCCTCCCCTTGAACAGATTACATCTTCATTCATCTTCAACAATCTCCTCATCCGTATCGCCATCATCTTCCATACCAGGATCCGGCATAACGATTTTATTCAGAAAAGTCACCTGCAAATTCCACATTAGTCTTCTCTCTCTCTCTCTCTCTCCTTATTTCAGTACACTCACAAACGGGAAAAGCCCCCTCACGATATCCGCAATCTTACTCTGCGCATCATCTCGGCACAAGACGGACTCATCCACCGGCGTCTCCACGAAGAAGCTCTTGAGCCGGAGGAGCTTGATGTCCCTATGAACAGGATCGTAGCCCTTCGGGGCCTTCTTGAGGCAATGCCCCTTGTTCTTCTCGACGAGGCCGTCAACCAGCGCACGGCCGTCGTCTTCGTCGTCGCCGACGGGAAGATGGGGGAAGAAGACGCGGCGGAAATCCGGGTGGGACAGGGCCCGTCGCCACCGTCTGGGGTGCCGGTCCACGTGCTCGCGCAGACGGACCAGGTGCTCCCTCTCGGGACACCACAGCCCCCCGGCGATGAAAGTCGAGCCGCCGGGTTCGCAGTGGATATAGTAGCATGCGTAGGGGCCTTTGCGGCCTGTTCGGGACCAGGCGGCTGAAAAGTGTGGCTATATTCCCCCCTGTCAGTTCATCATCGAAGAGAGGGAGAGAGATTGGGTAAGACCGTTTGAAAAGGGAGGAGAGGAAGTAAAAAAGGAAAAAAGAAAGGGGAGGACGGAAAGAAAAAAAAGAAAGAAAGAAAGAAAAAGAATCATTACCTTGTAAGGTGTTGGATTTTTACTGAAGCGTATATCCCGATGGATACGAAAGATTACGTCCTTGACCGGCAACTCGGGGACCGTCTCGTCCACGTCAATCACCGTCTGAGTGGTGACCTCGACAAAGGATTCCCAATCCTTGAGTGCCCTTCTATACTCTTCATCATGAGCTGTTTTTTTTTCTCCCCCTTCGTTAGTCATTTCGTCGCACACAAGGAGAGAGAGAAAGGGGGGGGGGGGAGAGGGAGAGAGGGAGAGAGGAAAGATGATACATTTAAGCCATTCCCTGTCATTGTTGGCCTTGAGGTCGCGTAGAAAGAGGAGGGTGTTGTCGTGTATCCGGTCGTCCGTATACTCTACACCGCCCGTGTCTCGCAACTTCACGAGAGGGATGATGATCGTCTTCATGGGCGCGTCTTCATCCACCTCCTCCTCGTCATCCTCCTCGTTGCCGTCCTGCTCCTCGCGATGCTCGTCCTCTGGTGTCCCAATCTCCTCCTGGACCTTCCTTGAGGAGCGTCCACCTCTCTTCGTCTTCTTTGGTGCCGGCTCTTCGGGATCAGACGCCTCGAAGTATCTACTCACCTTGGACGTCGTGGATATGCGCCCAGATCGCCGTCGACTAGGCGCTGCCGCTGCTACGGGATCACCGGGGGTGGAGCGCTTTCGAGATGCTGTCATGGTGCGGAGGAAGTATGATGCAGGCAAGTGAGGATGGCAACTAGAGGAGTATTGACCTGGATACCCGAGATTCGACGATATCATCAATTGAAAGAGTGCCAAGCAGCATGGAGATTGAACGGTAACGTCATCGGACCCCTCCGTTCAACGCCCTTCGAATCTTTTTCTTCGCGTCTCCCCACAGACAACATGACACGCGCTGTCACGTGAGACTATTTAATACACGTCATACAAACTGACCCTACCCTGCATCCTGTATTTTAATTGACCCGACCCCTGATGCGTGTCGCCTGCTAGGGAACTTTGTCTGCTATTCCCTCGGAGAGGAGGTCTAGCTTGTGCAAGAAGCTCAGCTGGTTGGTGTTCCCTGCTAAGGTTTTTTTTTTCTCTTCACCTTCGCTATGGTCTGATCTCGTGCGATGGCAGAGAGACGGTGATGAAGAGATGATGGCTCAGTTATCCTCGCCAAGAATGTTGTTAGATGTTGATCTGTCTGGGGGGCTGTAGCGAGGAGCGAGGTGAGTTGATGTTTTCTTTTTGCCAACTCGTAAGATTAACAGTGGTGTGCCCGGAAATAGATCGCGAGAGGAGCAGACTGCAGAGGAGGAAAAGAAATGCAACATGGCCGATAATAAAATGCAAGACCTATTAGGTCTTTAGAGAGAATACTTCTTGGTGAAGCATAGAAAAGACTCGAAGATGCCGAGCTGGCAAGTAAAGGCGGCTCAGGGCGATGTTGGGGAGGAGTGGGAAACCTCTGACGAGTAATGAAGGTGGTTCTTGAAACCTGTTGTTGCAAGTTTAAGCAAAGATGCACATCTTACTACTCATGATATATCACAACAAGGATTTACAAATGAAGGTGCGCGAGGGATGGATGAGCCGAGTGAGTCACGGACAATACCCGTACTATATATAAAAACGCCTGGATGGTTCACAGCCACTACCGCTACCACCAGAGTAGCACCACAGTGAGCCTTACAATGAGTGAGCCTTACAATGAATGAGCCGTTCACGTCACGACCTATGAGTAGCAATACACAATCTCTAGGACCTCAGTTTGAGAATGCAAAATTACATTGATTATTCTTCCTACGAGTACTCTGCACCATCATTGGTAGTGCCCTTGCGTAGGCTTCAAAACCATGGTCATCATAGACGCCCTATAGCCTGCCCAGTAACACCATTTGTTTCTTTCCGAAAGTTGTATGTTTCTTTGTTTTTCCTTTCTGAACCCATAAAAATTACACAAGTCTAATACCGCTCAACGACCCATTTACAGCTCGTCGTGGAAGTCGCCGCTGTCGGAACCGGGCTCACCGCCCTGGTACATCTTCGAGGTAATGGGGTAGGCAACGTTGGACAGCTTCTCCTTCTGCTCCTCAAAGTCCTCCGAGGTAGCCTCGGCGCTGTTCTCCTCAAGCCACTCGGTGGTCTCCTTGACGGCATCGAGGATCTGGGAAGAATAGAGTTAGAATCTTGCATCGGATCGACGTCGAATGATGATGGGTATTTCAACTTACCGTCTCCTTGTCCTCGTCAGAGATCTTGCCACCAAGACCGTCGTCGTCGTTGACCTGGTTCTTCAGGCTGAAGGCGTAGTTCTCAAGACTGTTGCGCGACTCGATGCGCTCACGGGTGGCCTTGTCCTCCTCGGCGTACTTCTCAGCTTCGGCCACCATGCGCTCAATCTCCTCGGGAGTGAGGCGGCCCTTGTCGTTGGTGATGGTGATGGACTCCTGCTTGCCGGTGCCCTTGTCGTGGGCGCCGACCTTGAGAATACCGTTGGCATCGAGCTCGAAGGAGACCTCGATCTGGGGAACACCACGGGGAGCGGGGGGGATGCCGGTGAGCTCAAACTTGCCGAGGATGTTGTTGTCCTTGGTCATGGAACGCTCACCCTCGTAGACCTGGATCAGGACGACGGGCTGGTTGTCGGCCGCGGTGGAGAAGATCTGGCTCTTGCGGGTAGGGATGGGAGTGTTACGGGGGATCAGCTTGGTCATGACACCACCGGTAGTCTCGATACCCAGAGTCAGGGGGTTGACGTCCATGAGGACGAGCTCCTCAGTGCCTTCCTCGCCGGAAAGGATACCGGCCTGAACGGCAGCACCGAAAGCGACGGCCTCGTCAGGGTTGATGCCCTTGGAAGCCTTCTTCCCACCAAAGTACTCCTCAATGAGGGCCTGGACCTTGGGGATACGGGTGGAACCGCCGACGAGGACGATGTCGTCGACCTCGCTCTTCTTGATGCCAGCGTCCTTGAGAACCTGCTCAACAGGCTTGAGGGTCTTCTTGAAGAGGTCGATGTTGAGCTCCTCGAACTTGGCGCGGGTCAGGGTCTCGGAGAAGTCGTTCCCCTCGAAGAAGGCCTCGATCTCGATGCGGGTGCTCATCTGCGAAGACAGAGTACGCTTGGCCTTCTCGGCCTCGCGCTTGAGCTTACCCATGGCCTTGGGGTCCTTGGTGATGTCGACGCTGTTCTTCTTGTTGTAGGCCTTGGCGAGGTGGTTGATGATCCTCTGGTCAAAGTCCTCACCACCCAGGTGGGTGTCACCAGCGGTAGACATGACCTCGAAGGTGCCCTGGTCAATGGAGAGGAGGGAGACATCGAAGGTACCACCACCCAGGTCGTAGACAATGATCTGGCGCTCAACATCGGTCTTGTCAAGACCGTAGGCGATAGCGGCGGCGGTGGGCTCGTTGACGATACGGAGGACGTTGAGACCGGCAATGGTACCGGCGTCCTTGGTGGCCTGGCGCTGGTTGTCCTGCAGAGGATATTAGCAGCTGTTGCATTGGAGATGCATATGTCACGCCAAGCTGGAATCGAAGCAAGACTTACGTTGAAGTAGGCGGGAACGGTGACAACGGCGTGGGTGACCTTCTTGCCCAGGTAGGACTCGGCCACCTCCTTCATCTTGCCAAGAATCATGGCAGAGATCTCCTCGGGGGTAAACTGCTTCTTCTTGCCGTCGACCTCGACCTGGACAACGGGCTTGCCATCCTTGTTGACGACACCGTAGGAAAAGTGCTTCATGTCGGCCTGGACGTCCTTGTCATTGAACTTGCGGCCGATCATACGCCTGTGGGGTCCATGTTAGCGACGATTCCAGAGACTACACATTCAACCGTCGTTCCTCCTCTGTACGGGTGAAGAAGCTTACTTGACATCGTAGACGGTGTTGGCGGGGTTGGAAGCGGCCTGGTTCTTGGCAGAGTCGCCGACGAGACGCTCCTCGTCGGTGAAGGCGACGTAGGAAGGAGTAATTCGGTTACCCTGGTCGTTGACAACAATCTCGACCTTACCCTTTTGCATCACACCAACACAGCTGTAGGTGGTACCAAGATCCTGTTTGGAGGGAAGGCAGTTGGTTAGCCAAGGGCACACACAGACATTGGAAAGGGACAGGGCGGGCGGCGGCAGCAGCAGCAGCAGCAGCAGCAGCAGTGACTTACAATGCCGATAACGGTGCCGATGTCGTCCGAATCCTGGGCGGCGGCGGGCTGGACCATGGCCAGCGGAGAGAAGAGAAGGGCAATCCAGCAAAGGAGTCCCAGGCCGAGGGCCATGGAGCTCCTCGTTGAGCGAGCCATGGCGGGCAGGTTGTGGGGGGTTGGTGAGCAAATGTGACAAGATGTACGGAGGCTTCAAGTGGCAGCAATCGAGAAGAAAAGAAGAAAAAAGACAGTATAGATGAGCGCACAGCGAGGTTGAACCAGTCCTCAAGCTTGCGGCCCTCTACCGAACGTGATAGAACGGAAGTTGTATTTTTTGGGAGGGGGTATCTTGGGATGAGAGAGATGGAGGGGGGTGAAGTTGACAAGTTTGGGTTGGTCTGGCTGGAAATGGCTTATTTATCACAGCGGCGCATCTTGCCTCTTGGTGTCCCCCTCCCCAAAGACGTCAAAGTGTCCAGATTGCACAAAAAGGCCAGATTGCACCTGCCCTTGCCGCCAGGGCTGCGCCTGTTGGTCCCCTGGAACCTGACCCACTTGGCGGGGGCCGTTGCCTGCTGTGAGTGAGTCGAAGGAAGCTCTGAGTCCCAGCCTCGTCGCACTGTGCCTTTGTTTTCTTTCTCCCAATCTTCAAGATCCTCTCTGTCTGCTGTGGGCATCTCCCGATATTCTACTCGCAGGCCTCACTCTGCCAAATTGCGAATACTATATGTACTCGTACTATCAAGAAAAGGTGTTTTGACCACCCGACCGCTGTACCCCAGAGTGGCGCAATAACACACCTTAACCATATGTATAATAGCTACGGTAGGATGCATGTAGTGCCTGATAGTACAATTTTCCTGCCTCTTGCGTGCCTCGTAGCCTTACCCCAGCAGGCTGGCTGACACTGTGCCCAGGGACCCCAATTGGAGAAGTGGCCACGACCACTTCCCATCGATTGTCCTCGATAGTAATCTGTAGTACCATCCGTATGAGTACAAGTAGTAGTTGATATCGGCAATTACCAATTGCTACCTTCTCATGCTACTGCTATTACTACGGTGCCATCATCTGTATGTTTCCATTCGCCACCCGATGACTGTAAGCATTTACGGTCTCTTCGATTGAGTTACAAAACACTCGTTGCCAGCTGTCCAAGAGGATGTCATAAGCTTGGCTATTCGAGAATATTCCGTGTATATCCATGCCGTGCCACTAATACAGTGTCCAATACAGTGTAAACGGACGGAAATATCTTGGTGGGGGGTACAGTGCCATGGAGAGCCTAAAAATACAGACCGGCGGACCGACAACGTGTGATCCGAATGACGAGTATTTTAGTACCGGTAGTAATAGTATTAATACTACACTGTTACTGGATTCATCCAGCGCCTTCGTTACGTATGGCTGTACTCCATCAGAACGCCAATCGATCCCATCCACTTCGGCCATTACGGTTTCACACACAGAGCTTCACACGTGTGATCATTTGCGCCATCTCTGCCACTACACTGGCAGGTAGGTACACGTACTTTCAATATCATGGGCCGTGTATGCAGCTACTAGCTAGCAGAGTGCTCGTACACAGCAGTAACCAAGCATTATTACACCGCATATCCACAATCACTCGAGCAATCCCGCCGCAACAGTCTCCCCGTTGCTCCTGATAACCACTCGTTGTCCAGCCTCCAACGGCACCTTGGTCTCCAGCTTGATGCGGATCCGTGCCACGCCACCGGGCTGTACTACCCTCGGTTTCTTCTTGGTAACCTCACCTGTGGCCTTATCTAGGGTCGCCAGGAGGCTCAGGATTTGGCCGGGTGCGTGCAGCCGGCCTCTGTGCAGATCGATGGGTGACGGCAGTATATGCTCAAATGCCATGGCCTTCATCGTGAACGAGTCGCCGCACGCAATGGCATTCGTTGGGTGGCAAAGAATGTCTCCGACCTTGATGTGGATCGGGTCAATGTTGGTGAGGGCAATGCTGACATTCTGTCCGGCCACGGCCCAGTCGTGCCCCTCGTTGTCCACCATGATGGATTTGATGTAGGCGTTTTCTCCACTGGGCTGGACAATGAGGACGTCGCCAAGCTGCATCGAACCCGAATCTATGCGCCCGCTGATCATTGTCGTGCCCTGCTGTGATCGGAAGACCTCGGAAATGGACATCCTCAGCGGCTTTCGCAGGGCTCGGGTAGCTGATGAGCCGGATGCCTCCAGAGCATCGACAAGGGTGCCTCCTTTGTACCACGATGCTGCCGGGTCCTCGATGGGCCGCACGATGTTGTGGCCTTCCAGTCCCGAGATGGGGATGAATTTGACCTGCTTCTCCTGAAAGCCTAGGCCAGTCAAGAACCCGGACACCTCTTGGCTGATCTCGTCGAAACGCTCCTTTGACCAGCCGACCATGTCAAGCTTGTTGACTGCAATAACCAGACGCTGCACACCTAGACTACGCAGGAGCAAGACATGTTCTCGAGTCTGGCCCTTGAGTCCCTTTTCGTAGGCGCCCGTATTCGCGTCGATGACCAGGATGGCAAAATCTGCCTGGCTCGCCCCTGCAATCATGTTGGGGACAAAGTCTTGGTGTCCTGGCGCATCTAGGATGGTGAACTTTGTCTGGTCCGTCTCGAAGTAACTTGTGGCAATGTCGATGGTAACACCGCGATCTCGCTCTTCGCTCCTCTGGTCCATGACCCATGCTAGAGCAAATGACTGTTTGCCAGTCTTCTCCCCTTCTCTCCGATACCTGTCGATGGTCCGTTGCTCAACGTACTTGAGCTCCATCAGCAGTCGACCCATGAGTGTGCTCTTCCCAGCGTCAACATGGCCTGAGTCCATTAGCTTTCTGAACGCAGATAGATCCGAAGGACGGCGTGATACGTACCGACGACCACAAAGCTGGCGCTCCTCTTGCTGTCGCTGGCTTCAAATTCTTTCACCACGTCTAGCCCCTTGCTCTTAGGCGGGGGAGCGTCGTTGATCTTTAGATTGGACAGCCCGGATGCGGTCTTGTCGGCTTCTGATCCGGTTTCACCCTTTCCATCCTTCTTTGTCGCCTTAGCGCTCGCCGGAGTTTTCTTGCCCGCTAGAGCAGAATTAGAATTAGCCCACTATTACCTTGCCCTTGCAAAACTCGAACCTTTGGACTGAGCGGCAAAGACGATGTCGTCGGGGCTAGGCTCAGAAAATGTCTCGGCAGAAAAGGACGGTGATGAAATATATGGCATGGGGAAAACATCGCGTCTCTTAGGGTTGGGCGCCACAGGAGCAGAGCCGAACAGGGTCTGCGCAAAGGCAGACGGTGCTGCCTTTGCCACACCTAGTTCATCTTCTTGCCGCCCCTGTTCATCAGGATTTCCGCTTGGTGGGGTAGATGAAGACGCGCCGACTTCCTGGTGGACTTGGCTGATGGGCTGCTGAGATGCCAGCGGCTGCTGTGACGAAACCTCGGATTGCTTTGAGGTTCTCTGTCGCTTGGCCAGCGGATGCACGCGCTCTCCACGACTATTCGCCGGTGAGTCGGATATGGAGAGCTGTTCGATGCCATTCTCAGCTATCCCGGCCTTGTCCTGGCCCTTCTTCTCTTCATTCTTCTTCTTCCTGGCAGCGGCCAGCTTCTGGAGCTTGGTCATACCACCAGCGCCTTCGCCACCTCCCAACAGTCCTCCACGGGGCCTCCAGGGTGCCACAAATATAGACTGGCGATCTTGAGGCGTGTCCAGCCAAGGCATGTCGTCAAAGTACGACTGGATCGAGATGTGTGGCCTGACGAGAACCGGGAAAGACGGTAGCCTGTCGTCCTCGGTTGCTGAAGACTGAGGCTCTGCTCCGTATAGCCCCGGGAAAGGGCGATTTACAGCAGAAAATGAAATGTTTCGAGACATACCTTCAGGCGTCTTCTTGGGAACAGATACTTTCGGGGCAGGCTTGGGCTGGGCTGGTTCGATGAACGTCTTGTTCAGGAAGGCAACCGACTTGTCGACCTCGTAGTAGTAGTTCCACAAGGCGTCTTGAATTTGCTTCAGAGTCACCTTAGATGAGGCCTTCCCGAGTGCCTTGCGGACCTTTGCAGTACCTTCGGCCATGGCAGCTTCGTCCTCTGGACTCAGGGCCGTCGCGTCGTCATGGTCGTAGTCGTCGTCATAGTCGTCGTCGAAGCCGTCATCGTCGAAGCTGTCAGCATACTGACTGACAGGCATGGTGGTGCCGTGCTCTGATAGATCGAAATGCCACTTATTGGGTGGATGTGCGTGTCTACATGTATGAAGATTAGTTTGGTCCCGAGCTGGTTCTGGGCCGAGCCGAATTTATGAACAAATACGAACATTGATCTGAGTGCGGTTGAAGAGGATGAGTGAATGGTACGAAGGCGGGGTGGGTCAATCGGGTTTGCAGTAGCCGTGGTGGGCTTCAGATGAAGGTGACCGTATGAAAAATGAGCCCTGAGATTGTATCAAAACGCAAAATTTCCCATCAATCAAATCGAAAGAAATAGAACTATGACCGTCGAGTTCAAACCATGCTAGATTAGAGATCTGAGTCAAAGCTCGTTTGTTGCCAGTTGGTCAGTTGGTGAGGGGCGACTGCTGGCATGACGACCTGATAGCGGGGCACTGTGGCTTATCGGCTCTTATCGCAATCACTCCGCCGGAATTTTTCTTTCGCCGCGTGCCGCAGCTTGCTATTCAGGAGCGCCCATCTCCTGTGTGCCAGTACACCGAATAGTCTAAAATTTCAGGTACGGCGCATTACAAACAACCTCCAAGCACCGATACCTTTCAAACGTCGCCAGAAGCTTCTCGTCCGTTTCCCGAGAGGCTATCTCCAGTCGTGCGTTTATCAGGCGAGCGCGAAAAGGGCACCGTCCACAGCCACCATGGCGCTGAGTGAGCTTTCCACAACAATCCTTAATGGCGGGGAAGAGAAATTGAAGCTAATGTCGGGGGAAAACAGATCTGGATGTCGAGAATGGTACGGGCTACCATCACCACCGAGCCACGCGAGAATGTATACTGACTCTTAGGAAACAGCGACGATGATGAAGGATGAGCAAGGCCGTCCTTTCATCGTCGTGAGGGAGTACGTCTCTGCTTCTACGAAATCTCCCCCCCTCCCAACCCCACCAACACATGGCTAACCAAGGTCCCTTTACAGTCAGGGAAAGAAGAAGCGCCAGTTCGGTAACGAAGCTGTCAAGTCTCACATCCTTGCCGCCCGTACGGTTGCGACTCTCGTCAAGTCGTCTCTCGGCCCCCGAGGCCTCGACAAAATCCTCATCTCTCCTGATGGCGACATCACGATCACAAACGACGGTGCCACCATCCTGCAGCGCATGGAGATTAGCAATCATGTTGCCAAACTCCTCGTGGAACTCTCCAAGTCCCAGGACGAGGAGATTGGTGACGGTACAACTGGTGTCGTCGTCCTCGCTGGCGCCATGCTGGAGCAAGCCGCCGACCTCATCGACAAGGGCATCCACCCCATCCGAATCGCTGACGGCTACGACCAGGCCTGCGAGATTGCCTGTGCTGAGCTGGACAGGATCTCGGACGTGATCGAGTTTACAAAGGATAACACTGAGAATCTCGTCAAGGTTGCCAGGACCAGCCTTGGCAGCAAGATCGTCTCCAAGGCCCACGACCAGTTTGCCAACATTGCCGTAGACGCCGTCCTGTCGGTTGCCGACCTCGAGCGCAAGGACGTCGACTTTGAGCTCATCAAGGTGGACGGCAAGGTCGGTGGCGCCCTTGAGGACACGCTCCTCGTCAAGGGTGTAATCGTGGACAAGGACTTCTCCCACCCTCAGATGCCTTCCGAGGTTCGGGACGCCAAGATTGCCATCCTGACCTGCCCCTTCGAACCCCCCAAGCCCAAGACGAAGCATCACCTTGACATCACCAGCGTCGAAGAGTTCAAGAAGCTGCAGAACTACGAGCAGGAGAAGTTCATCGAGATGATCCAACAGATCAAGGACGCGGGTGCCAACCTGGCCATCTGCCAGTGGGGCTTCGACGACGAGGCCAACCACCTTCTTCTTCAGAACAAGCTCCCCGCTGTGCGGTGGGTTGGCGGCCCTGAAATTGAGCTGATTGCCATTGCCACCAACGGCAGGATAGTGCCCCGATTTGAGGACCTGTCCGAGAAGAAGCTCGGAAGGGCCGGTGTCGTGAGGGAGATGAGTTTCGGAACGACCAGGGAGAAGATGCTCGTCATCGAGGAGTGTGCCAACACCCGTGCTGTGACGGTCTTTGTCCGTGGCAGCAACAAGATGGTACGAATATCCCATGCCCCCGCGCCCCCCCTGGGGATACGAGTGATGAAAGACAGAAGAGGACAGAGAGAAGCTGACTTTGAGTAATCAGATCATCGACGAGGCCAAGAGATCCCTCCACGATGCCCTGTGCGTCGTGCGCAACCTGGTTCGCGACAACCGCGTGGTGTACGGTGGTGGCTCCGCCGAGATTGCCTGCGCGCTGGCCGTTGAGGACGCGGCGGCCAAGACGCCCGGTCTTGAGCAGTACGCCATGCGTGCCTTCTCGGACGCTCTCGATGCCGTTCCCATGGCGCTGGCCGAGAACAGCGGGCTCAACCCTATCTCGACACTGGCCGAGGTGAAGAGCCAGCAGGCCAAGGCCGGACCCGAGGGACGGGGCAGGGTCGGCGTGGACTGCATGGGCCGCGGAGACAACAACATGAAGGAGGCCTTCGTCATCGACCCCCTCATTGGCAAGAAGCAGCAGCTCCAACTGGCGACGCAGCTGTGCCGTATGGTCCTCAAGGTTAATAACGTCATTGTGTCGGGTACGGACAATGACTACTAGATGTCTCCCTCGGGACCAACTAGGCACAATGTCCAAGAAGTAAAATAAAATAAAACAAAAGCAAAAATGTATAGGGCTGTTGATGCATCAAAAAAGAAAGCTTTTTTTTTCCACTGTTCCACCCTCTATCCATAATCCACGGTGAATTATTGTTTCTGGTGATGGCTGATAATGCATGGGTAGTAACATGGGTGGTAAATATCTATCAGTGCAGAGCTTCCGTTTAGCTTCCGTTTACAAGCTCTCAGGGTGAATTGGTCGTAAGACACATTATGACGACGAATGAGTCTTATAGCAGATATTTGTGGGCTACAGGGTCCCGTCTCTACTAGAGTCTAGCAGTCTGACACTGCCAAAACAGCGGCAGACTGTTAGTGCGGAGCCGTTGGAAAGTGGCCATTCAACCCACATGCATTCCATCTCGCCTGCCACGTCTCTCTCCCTCCTCTCTAGAAGGATCGGAGGCCGGTATATGTGAACTTGCCCCAGCTTGCAAGCACATGGCCTACGCTATGCCACAAGAATACGCTCGATGCCGGTAACCGTAACCAGCCACAGGCCAGCAGGAAAAAAAAACAGAAGAGCGCTTCTTCATCTTCCAACACCCCACGCTGCGACTAAAGAAGGCCGCGGCCGGACCGAGACGCCACCATGACCGCACAGTCAAACGGCGACGGCGAGGGATCCGGCTCCAGGGTGCAGGCCGTGACAGAAACGGCGGCCTCCCGGGTGGTCCCCAGACCGGTACCATGCTCGCAGAGCGACGACCCACGGGGCTACCAGCTCGACCAGCTACGGCGACGCTACTCGCCCGTATGCACCACGGCGGCGGACGGCTCGACATCCGTCGTCTTCCAGCTCAAGCCGTCGGATCCAGACTTCCCCTTCGAACTGACCTCTCTGGACTGCGACCTCCGTGTCCCTGAGGGGTATCCGCGCACGCGGCCGACGCTGCGCGTGCGCAACAAGGACATCCCGCGGGGCTTCAGCATCAACGTGGAGCGCGGGTGGGACCGGCTGGCGGACGAGCGTCGGGGCAGCACGCTGCTGGCGCTGACGCGGGCCCTAGACAAGAACCTCGAGGCATTCCTGTCGGAGCAGAGGGTCGACACGGTCAAGCTGGTCGGGTTCCAGGGGACCAAGGATACGAGACACGTACGACAGCAGCAAGACACGAGGCCGTCTACCACAGGAGCTCCTCCTGCCGTCACGGAACAGACGCAGCAGCAGCCGGGAGAGGCTACTGCTGCCGCCGCCGCCGCACCCCTCATGCGAGAGCGGTCGTATACCAGGGACGAGATAGCCGAGGCCAAGGCGCGCCGGGCAAGAGAGGTGCGCCAGCTGGATTCGCGGATGGGCAAGATGCCCATGTTTCGCCGGTCGGCGGACGGGGTCGTCTTCACGCTCCCGATAGAGCCGAAGCGGCGGACGGAGCTTCCCCGGGGCCTCATGTCCGTCACGACGGTCCACCTCATCGTGCCGCTGCTGTACCCGCTGCAGGAGCTTCGTCTGCAGCTCAACGACGTCGTGGCCGAGGAGGCGGAGCCCGTCGAGGACATGTTTACGCAGAAATCTACGGAGCTGCGGCAGATGTCCCTGATGAGCCACATCAACTACCTGACGCAAAATCTACATGCAATGGCCAGGAAGGCGCAGACGATGGCCAAGGCCAAGGCTGACGCCGAGGCCAGAGCGAGGGCAGAGGCGGGAGCGGCTGCGGCTGCACCCCGGGTCGATACCGCTGCCGCCCAGCCCTCCGAGGAGGACAAGGGCCGCGTCCAGGTCATCCCCCGCCCTCCGGAGTGGACGACGGCAGACGATGGAGACTCGTCCGATGCGGATTCCGATGCCGACGACACGGACGGAGACGGCGGCGTGAGTCTAGAGCCAGAGCCGGGCAACGCTCCGGTGGCGGCGGCAGAAGACGCGGCCGAGCGGGGCACCATGCTGAGCTTCCCGCGCGTGGAGCTACACGGCATCGAGCTGCTGGAGGTGTCGGTGCTGGGCCTGACGGTCAGGTGCGAGCGGTGCAAGACGGTCAACGAGCTCAAGGGTCTGCGGCCGGGCCAGGAGAAGAGGGAGAGGTGCGAGAAGTGCAGCTCGCCGATGGCGGCCAGGTTCCGGGCGCAGGCGGTGCACGAGAACTCCACGCGGGCGGGGTTCGTGGACATGGCGGGGGCCAAGGTGGCGGACCTGCTGCCGAGCACGTTCGTGCCGACGTGCTCGCGGTGCTCGACGGCGGGGCCGGAGCTCGTGTCGGTGCGCGGGGAGGCCATGACGAACGTGTGCCGCGCGTGCCACGCCAAGTTCACCTTCAAGCTCCCCGAGGTACGGTTCACGGTGGTGACGGCGGGCCGGCCGGCGGCGGACGGCTCGGAGCCGGGCTCGCGGCGCGGGAGGGAGAGGCTGGGGCTCCACGCGGGGGAGCCGCTGCCCAGCCGGGGCGCGTGCGGACACTACCGAAAGTCGTACCGGTGGTTCCGTTTCTCGTGCTGCGGTCGGGTGCACGCGTGCGACAAGTGCCACGACGCGGCCGAGGACCACGAGAACGACTGGGCCAGGCGGATGATCTGCGGGTGGTGCAGCCGCGAGCAGAGGTACAGCCCGGAGGCCTGCGGGTTCTGCGGAAGGAGCGTCATCGGCAGGAAGGGGAGGGGCTTCTGGGAGGGCGGCAAGGGAACCAGGGATCAGAGGCTGATGAGCAGGAAGGATCCGAGGAAGCACAAGAGGATTGGGGGTCAGGCATGACGTTGACGATGTGTTGTATGCTGTGCTGTATATATATATATATATATGTGTGTGTGTGTGTGTGTGTGTGTGTGTGTGTGTGCGTGGTGGTGTATGTGTGCGTGTGTGTGTAGAGATCATCTCAATTCTTACACCCGAGAGGAACGCAACACTGATTGTAATCTATGTCATCCGAGAGGATAGTATGAGGAAGGAGACGGACCAATATCAAGCACCGCACGCCTCTCACAAGGCTGGGCTGTATGTCTGTATGTATTATACTAGCACTGCCGTCTATCACTACAGTCTGCAGTCTACAGTCCACGAGTAGAGGTAATAGTAGTGGTATCTGATATCAGTGTCATCACTCAGTAATTACTTAGTAGGTATACAACAATGAAAACGGTTCTCCACCCGGTAAACCGACGATGGTGTTGAGGGTGTGTAGTAGACACCGATTCCTTACAAATTTTTTTTTTTTATATTTACATTTTCTTCTTGGCCGGTTAGGAAAGGAATAGTCGTTAGACAATTCCTGCGCAGAAAAGAGAAACCCGTCTCCCCTCTTCCTTCCGGGAGGAGAGTGAGGCACAGATGGCATGTACACAGCATCTCGTCAGTGTATTACTGTCAGACAAGAGTGATGCACAGAAGCTGCAAGAAGAGCCAAACAAGAAATAATACGAGATGGATTCTCATCTTTTCCTTCTCTTCTCTCCTTCTCTCTCCTTCTTTAGGATGAGTAAGGAGAGAGAGAGAGAAGAGGAGGGAAGGAAGAGAGAGAGAGAGAGGTAACGAGGTATTCTCAATGATTCACCGCTCGTCCAGGACGTGCATACAGGCCGCGGCACCCTCTCAACCCTCCATTGAATCCCATGGTCCGTGGTCATATGGCAGGATTCCGCTGAGCTGGCAGAAACCCCCCTCCCACCACTCTCGAATCTCGACGGTGGCGCCACACACACGCTGCGCGGGCACATGCGTCTCCGAGCCCTGTTCTTCTCCGATGAGCTCTGGGTGTCTCTGTGAGGTGCAGACAATCACGATTGTATAGAGAAGGGGAGGAGCGTGAAGATGTAGGAAAGTTGCAAAGATGAAGAGAAGTATCAGTCTGGTGATGGGACGGTGCAATGGCAATGCTGATATGATGAATAGTATCAACCACGGTAGAGACGTACATGATATCAAGCATGCATCACTACCATGCTACTCGGTAGAATAGAAGAGGATAGATACAGCGATATGTTGTACACACGTGCGCCACGGTGATGGGCTATCGTGATGCCACGCTGATTTCATAGATTTTTCTTCTTCTTTCCTCGTTTCTCTTCTTGTCTTTCTCTCCTTGTTTTCTCTTTGTTTTTTTTCGTTTTTTCGACTGGAGTTGATATACGCCCCCTCCATTGTTCAGCATGTGATAATACCTGGGGAGCAGAAGATGGAAATCATGATGACGGATTATAAAATAAAATAAAATAAAAAGACAGATGAGTAGATAAATAAAAAAGATTAATAAATAAAACCCTTTTCCTTGCGGGAAAAGAGTTCCCGGCAGGTGCTGGGTGCATACAGCAACATGTGCTCTCATGACTCTGCAAGGTCAGGGCGGCAAGTATGATGATGTGTTTGTGCATCACTGTTTGTTGGTTGTAAGCTGGATGCCCAAGATGGTTACTTGTCTTGTTTTTTTTTTCTCTGTCTTCACCAAGAGCAAACATATCATATCATCCAAAGGTGTCAAGTAAGAGATGATATCGAAGCAAACAACAAAAAAGAAAGAATTTTTTCCTTTTTTTTTTAAATAAAAAAAGAAGAAGAAGAAGAGGAGGAGGAGATGAGAGTACAAGACCTCGTATACGCAGTTGACCGCCGTTGTTCCGACCCTACCACTTGAGATATCCCTACCGCCCTTCTCCTCCCAGTATTGTTATCCGTATCACTTGATTGGCAAGAGGATAAGAAGATAGAAATGAAAAATGATTTTTTTGTAATAAAAAAAACCCCAAGAATAAAATAAAATAAAAGTAACATGACTGAAAGTGTGTGCTGTCCATCTTCCCACGAGACGGCACGGGCAATCATTCAGCCACCGGGCCCCTACGCGTAGAGCAGAAACCTGCAGCCTTCTCCTCCCATCTGTATGGCCGACGAAATACTCGATAGTGGTTGACGCGTTGTTTTCTCTTCTCTTCTTTTTCTTTTTTTTTTTTTTTTTTGGTATTACGACTGGCGTGCGTGTCCGTCCGTATATGTACGTGTGTGCGTGCACAAGCTCCCTCAAATGACTCCGGCCAACACCGGAGAACGAGGGTCACTCGTCGTTACAGGCGCGTGGCAAGCGCTCTGCCTCGCTTCTCCTGTATTCGTAACTACGTCTAGAGGAGGGGTGTGTGGGTAGAAGAAGGGAGGAGGAGGAGAAACGGGGCTGTAGATGTGACGGGGGATGTGAGGGATGCCACACACGCACACGCACACACACACACATACATGGGCGGACCAGGTTGGTTGCCTGTACGCGACCATGGGTCATATGAAGGTGAAGAGCAGAGAAACCTGCCCTGTTTCGTCCGAGAGGATGCAAGTCACAACCGCCGCCATTCAGGGGCGCACAGAGGAAATGAAATAAGATGAGAGAAATATGACCGGGCAAAATAAATAAATGAATAGATAAAATAAGATAAAATAAAAAGCGATAAGAAGAAGAAGAAGAAGAAAAGGAGGAAATGTGGATGATGATTCATCTTTCGTCATACCGATATAGCGGTGTCGTTGGGGGGGGGGGGGATAAGAAAAGGTGAGGAAAGAAGACGTGTATAGTTTCTCTTGATGGGTTCTATCTTGTCAATATACATATATATGTATGTATGTATGTATATACATGTGTGTGTGTAAAAAAAAAAAAAACTGTATACTTCATATTTCTTCCACCTCCCAACTATGCAATATCAGACGCAAGAGTTGAATCGGCCTCGAGGACCCGGGCCCGGACCGTCGTCGTTCGGTACACCCGATGGAGTGGGGACCGGCGAAAGATCAGACCAGATGAGAGCAGGTCCCCTGGTCTGGGTCCCCTGGTCTGGGTCCCCATCTTTCCGTATATACGGTATACTCTCTCCTCTTCAGGGGGGGGGAGAAGATGATGGCCGCTCTGGGTTTGTCGACGCCGACAGTACAGATTACCGTACACCGGCTTCTTTTCTCTGCTGTTATCATCATTCAGCTACGCGTCTTACCCGTGATACTTTTTACATGTAGAAAAAGAATTTAAGAACGGGTATACAGGACATGAGAGTAGAGTCGTGGGAGAGCTTGCAAGGCGAGTTGTCCCTTCTCCGGGGAATCGTGAAAAGAGAGGGTGGATGAGCTCGTACGGCTCTGGTCGAGAGAGCCAAGATTGCTGATCTTGAAGGGGGGGGGGGGGGGGGGGGGGTTTGCGTACCTTGAAGGAGAACCTTGGAAGAAGAAAAGAAGAAGAAATCTGAACAGTAGGCTGTCAGAGCGAGTACTCTGACCGTGTACGAGACATGTCCCCCCAACCTCCTACCCGTCTCAGTCGGCATCTCATTTCAGAGAAGGCCGGCTGACGGGTGACGCCGAGGGGGCAGGGCCGATGACTATAGGGAATATCCATGCATGGTGTGGGAGTGCGCAGGAATCGTCATCAGCGGGCGGTCCCTCTCTTCATCATCACGAGCCAAGAACTGGTCTCTCCATGATGGTCAAATTCGCATTGATCCCCGCAAGTGCATCCATCCTATCAGTCAGACAAGTCGAGTCCATTCAGAGGCCAAGAGCAGATTGTATTGAAGAGAGAGAAAAAGAAAATCTATTCAGTCAAACGGGACAGTTGCATAGAATCAAGGCTGCGACACGATCTCCTCCATTGATATGAGAAGAGTGATATGGTAGAAGAGAGAGAGGGTGGTGGTGGTGGTGGTGGGTGGGAGAAGCCATGTGATTGAAGATGGATATGGTTGGATGAGAAATCCGAGTTGGCAGTTTGGCAGGGGGGATGTCGTGCTCTGGGTGCTAATAGTCGCAGTCACGATGGTAACGATAATATTTCCATCAGATGGTGAGGTTTTTTGTTTAAAAAAAAAAATTAAAAATTAAAAATAAAAATAAAAATAAAAGATAAACAGATAAAAATATTGTGTACAATTGAAGAAATTCCCTCCCTCCCCCCCACATTTCGATGGAAAGCTTCGAGAAGACGTGTTGGGGCCAATCACATCTATTCCTTCTTCCCGACACAGCTCTCAGTCCTCACCACTCTCTTTCTTCCTTTTTTCCTTTCCCCCCCCTCCCCCCCTTTTTTTTTCCTCTCCTCTCATTTCTAATCTGCAGTTTTCCTCTCAATGTCCTCTTTTCTCTCTCTCTTCTTTCAATTCCGACTCCAATCTCCATCACTTACATTACATTCACTTCAGATTCGATTCGACTACGAATACATGTGTAGAACTAGACCATGCGCATATATCGGAGACCGTCGTGAGTCTTGCAAGGTCATTCGTCCTACTCTTCTCTCTCTCTCTCTCTCTCTCTCTCTCTCTCTCTTCCTCTCCACACCAACCAGGACAAGGTAAGGGTCATGGACAATGCCTTGGTGATGCGCCACCGGTAATCGGTAGGGTCACATTCACCTCTATCTCTCCCCCTTCCGACCTCGGCAGCCATACAAGTTGCCACACACACACACATACACACACACACACACACACACACACACCCAATGTACCGGGTGCAATCACGAAAATTGATCCTTCCCGAATCCCGCGACTGGGATGGCTAGATTGATCTGATTTAGGCGAGGGGTGGGAAGAGACCATGGAAGGGATGACGTTGTCCATTCTTCGGATACGTGGATCTTGACGGTTTTTTTTTTTTTTTTTTTTTTTTTTTTTTTTTTTTGCTGCTTCTCTCACGGATGTTTCTGCAATGGATCTTTCCAGAAGAAGAAATGCAGCGTCATGTTACGGATGACATCAATGAGCGATTGAAGAAGAGAAAGAGAAGACGAAAGAAAAAGAAGGAAAGAGATAATAATAATACTAATAAAAAGACATTGTTGCATGACGTCGTGGCTTGACGTATCTGCGATATCCGCGAAAGACTAGATCTGCGTACATCTGCCGGCATCGGTGACAATGACGGTGACGGTTCCATGTTCTTTTGAAGTGGAAGAGAGAATGTGATTTTTTGTTTTCGATGTACATGTCGAGATGGAGAAGAAGAATGAATGGAATGAAATAGAAATAGAGATTAAAAAAAAATAAAACCAAGAGAGAGAGGGAGAGACAGAGAGAGAGAGACAGAAGGCTAAAAAGTTCCCCAGACACCCCAGACCGCAAAATGGGTGACTTCGTCCTTCCCCACACTCTGGTTCCGGGGTGGCCGACGACGTCCGGCACGGTCAAGCATAAACAGCCGTGGAAGTGCCACTATGATGTAGTACATGGCAATACCGATTCGATAAGAGCACCCGGATCGTCACAGTATCTGCCCTTCCACCGCAACGTGACAGGTACTGCACCGTCATATCAGTGCCGACTGGACGAGAGCGGTAACGACACCCCCAGACGGGGAGAGCAGGCAAGGCCGAGTCGGGCCACAGCCACCACGAGACCCCTTGACCGGATGCAATCCTCCCCATCTATTACTTCATAGTGTCGGTATCCAACGGTCATCAACTGAAGAGGAAGGAGATGTCAGGATGTTGATCTGAAAGGGGGGGGGATAGAGACGAAAGGAGAGGAAAAGAGAGAAGAAAAAAAACTACGCTCTTTCCTCGGTCACGTTCCTTGACAATTGACAGAGTCTAAATGACAGGGGCCGAGGTAAAGCGTGGTCGTGTATCTTATTTTTATTTTATTTTTTCAAAAGAATATATGTATATACATATATATATATATAATTTAATGTAAAATTGAGAAAATATCTAAGCCTTAGGACAAACGGGTACCGGAGTCCAGAAGAAGGCGAAAGAAGAGAGAGAGAGAAAAAGACCAGTCGAGGAGCTGAGAGTACGTGCATCACTACCTACCAGGTAAGACATTTCAGGTGGAATTCCACTGCGAATACAATCATATCACCTACATGCGCTCGTATCCGAGAATGATGACCCCGTACCGGAGAATAGCGGTCGTATGGTAAGGGTCGTATTAGCATTGCTGGTGTTGATTTCACACCAGTCGTCTCTCTACCCGATCTCACCCGAACTCTTCAACCCCACAAACATGTCGGTAAGGAGGAGAAGGAAGAGGAGAAGACTGATGTACAGAGAAGAGAATAAAACGAGGGAAAAAAATGATGGAGAATAAAAAGGAGACGTCTGTCATGCTTGAAATGTCATCATATGCTAAATGCTGCCATACACTAGATGCTCTTTTTTTTAAAAAAAAAATTCATTAAATAAAATTAAAATTAAAATTAAATAAAATAAAATAAAAATCTTATGCAAACCCCTCTGCGGGTACTCTATTTGATAACCCGCTGTATGTCATTATCGGAGCCAATACACAGCATATAATATACAATACTCCTTCCATACAGGGAGAGGAGAGGGAAGGTCCTCTTCACCGCCCAAAAAGCCACAGGTGAGTCATTATGCAAGCAGCAGATAATTAAATAAAAATAACAAATAAAATAGCGATAATAATAATGATGATGGTAAATTTAAATAATAAGAAAAAGCACACGAGGTATCTATGCCTCCTCTACTGCACCTGCTTTTGCGTCAACCACGCAGCGCTGCCTTACCTACCTTTTTTCTTTTTTTTTCTTTTTTTTGCGTGCATTGATACGCAAGCATGCACGTATGCACATACGAGTATTTATTACTCCCATTAGTACGAGTTGTGTTTTCTAGATATAAATAATATATATATATATATATTGCTCCGTAGTCAGTACGGAAGCACACCACCGCCTCGTCCTCCCCCAAAAAAAAAAAAAAAAAGGCAGCAAGCATTCATAGGGTTTGTTTTGTGTGTGTCTGTACGGACTTTACTCTCTCTCCGTGCGTGATAGAGACGACTGAGTCTCCTGGGAAGAAATTCAGATCCGTCTACAAGACACTTCTTTTTTTTTCTCTCCCTCCCCGCTACATCAAAGCGGGGGATCATGGTAATCATATTAGCCTTGGAAGATAATATATCTCTTCGTACCACTCATTGCCAACTACAGATTACTACTATTAGCTACTACTAGCTGCTACTACTGCTGCTACTAACTACTACTACTCCTACTCCTACTACTACTACTACTACTACTACTACTACTACTACTACTACTACTACTACTACTACAAGAGAGAGAGAGAGAGAGAGAGAGAAAAGATCTTACGAGAGAAATATTCATCTTGGGATCTTGTAAGAGAACAGATTGGGGAGAAGAAAAAAAGAGAAATATATCTCTTTAGTATCTGGTAATGAACTGAAATTGAAATAATGGAAAGAGGGGGGGGGAGTGAGGAGACTTCACAATGACAGAACCATCATATATTACGGAGCATTACCCCTCTCCATATCATGAAAAATCTTTCTCTTTTCTTCTTCTTACAGAAGAAGAGGAAGGGAAAAAACCGCTATTTTCACCTCGGTCTGGTCACTAGCTGCTTGCCATGACTCTTCGCACTGCTTGCCCCAAACTTCCGTAGATCCGGTACCCCCCCCCTTTGGACATGCACATCACTCCTACGGTCCGGTCCTACCTGTCTGTACTCTATGTACACATGACAAGAGGTCACAGGTCAAAGGAAGACAACACACAAGAGCACACATGAGAAGGATGTTTCGATATTTTCTGTATTCTCTTACTCTTCCCTGCCAAGTGAAGAGCCCTCAGCAGATGGCATCCTCAAAGAGGTTTTTTAAAAAAAAAAAAATCATAAACGAGGTGAAGTTTTGGTGGTGGGGGTTTTTCTTTTTAGTGTGTCCGACATGAAATAAGCATTGTTTGTACTCTTCTTGAGAAGAAAAAAAAAAAACAGAGTGTAATCTCTCCCTGAGGAGGAGAAGATAAGATATATATATAAAAAGGTAAAAAAAATATCGCTAGTAGAGGAAAAACAATGCCAACCGTGGTATCTTGGACCGCAACGCCATCCATGCAAAATCATTATGTTTCAGATGAGAAGAAAAACAAGGAGGGGGAGATAAGGAGAAGACGACGCTATGCTGTCGAGAATATGTGGTCATGTGTCGTCGAGTAGCTCGATCGACCGGTCAAGGGGAGGGGGGAAGGGAAAGCACATCCGTATCGAACACCTGCAACGGTTCTGCCCTCTACCAACCCTTTGCGTGGTATCCCTCAAAGCTCTCCTTGGAGAAGAATTGGTTCATGCTGTTGGCATTGGCGTCCTCGCTCTTCTTCATGCACGATCGCTCGGGATACTGTCTCAGGTTGGCCACGTCGTGCGAGGTGTGGCGGCGCTTGAGCACCGCGTTGGCCGTCGACGACTTCTGCGACCGCTCCCACAGGAGGTGCCTGCGGAGCGACTCGGTCAGCTCCGTGGCGAGCATGTTGCGGCGCGTCGTGCGCGGGGACAGCGCCTGCTGTCCGTAGACCTGGCCCTGCGTCGGCATCGCCATCGGCATCGCGCCGGTCCGGCCTTCGCGGATGGGCTTGAGGCCGTGCTGCTGCTGGGCGCGCTGCTGGCGCGCACCCTTCATCATGAGAGGCGCGTCGTCCGAGTCGTCGGGCGACGCGCCCAGGGTGGGAGCCGACGGTCCAGCCTTGCCCTGGAGCAGGGCCGACGTCGACTGCGACGCGTGGCTGCTCAGCTTCTTGGCGCGGTCGTCGTTCTGGGCCAGCATGAGCGTGATGAGGGAGCGGCGCGAGGTCAGGTTGGCCTTGGAGTCGACGCGCTGGAAGTACTTCTCGTCCACGCTCGACTTGCCGCTGTCCTCGAGAGAGTCCTCCCAGTCCGACGAGTCGTCGTCGTCGTCGTCGATGGCGCTCTCGTCAATGTAGTCACCCTCCGAGTCGGACTCGATGGCCGAGTCGGGCTCCATCGTGTGCGTCACGACGCGGCTGCTGAACGAGGCCTGCTTCTTCTGCGCCGACAGGTCGTGGCCACCGTCGCGGCTCGAGTGGAGGGCGCTCTTGAGAGACGACGCGTCCTCCTCGGACGACTTCGAGCCGCCGAGCTTGAAGGCGGCCGTCTTGGCCTTGGGGGCGGGAGCCGGCGTCGAGGTGGGGCCGACCCGCTGACGCGTCTCGACGCTCTGGCCCTGCTCGCTGGACGAGTAAGAGCCGCCGAGGGCGAAGGCGGCGGGCTGCTTGCCGGTGCGCGTCACCACGACGGGGGCGGGTGACGACCTGGGTTCGGGGAAGGCGACGTCGGCAGCCGTGACCTCGACCTCGGGCGTCTTCAGGAGGGGAGCCGGGGCCTGCCGAGGCGAGAAGCCGCGGACGACCTGGGTGCGAGCCTTCTGCTGCGGCGGCTGCGGCTGCGGCTGCGGCTGCGGCTGCGTCTGCTGCATGTCGAGCGAGGCGCGCGACATGACCGAGTGCATGTCCGACGTCTTGGAGGACTGAGACTCGGTCGTGGTGGAGCCGGAACGGTAGATGGTCTGGCAGGGCGGGACCGCCTCCGTCTCGTTCTCCACCTCCTTCTGGGCCGGAGCGGTGGCGAGCTTGGCCTTGGGAGGGGCGGGTGCCGAGAGGGGAGCCTTGTCCTTGACGATGGAGACGATCATCTTCTCGACCTCGTCGGAGCTGGTGTGGCGGTCGCGGCGGCTGCGGCTGCTGGTGGACGAGTCTTGCCTGTGTATCCTAGGGCGGACGATCTCGAGCGGTGCAGAGACCGAGGTGAACTCGACGGCCTCGTCGTCGGCAAGGGAGTCGACACTGCCCGAGAGCTGAGGGAGTTCGGGCAGCCTGGAGTCGGACGGGATGGTCTGGAGGGTGGTGGTCATGGCCGGCGTCTTGCCGTCAAGGTCGGCCAGCTGCTTCTTCTGCCAGAGCCTCCAGCTGAGGTTCTCTAGCCTCCGGCCCTGCTCAACTGAGTCTGCGCAGCGGGAGAAGACTGTTTCGTTGCTGTCAGCGATTTGGAGGGAGAGGGGGGGGGCCGCGGTTAGACCACATCTGTCAGGGTTTGGGAGGAGGCTCACCGGTCCACATGGTGTAGAGGTTGGCAGGGTTTTCCGTGTTGACTTTGTGGATGAGGTCTGCGTCGACCGTGAGGACGTGTGTGTCCAGGTGATTGGGCATTTCTGCCAAGCTCGTCGTTGCTCGGTACCTACAAGGGCGATGCGGGTCTCGAGAGAGAAGTGTGTAGGTTGACGTCCAAGGGAGAGGGAAGTGTGTAGTGGTGGAGTTGAGATGGCCCGAGACGAAGAGAGAGAGGGAGAGAGTGTGGGAGAGAAACCAGGTCTGATCGACGCCGAAGTAGAGGATGGAATCCAGAGTGGTGTTTTTTTTTTTTGGCTTCGATCAAGCAAGTACGTCGTGTGTCGTCGTCAGATTGTCAGCGGTGATGCTGTGGCGGCGGCAGGAGGCGGTGGTGATGGGGGGCGTGTGATCAGATCGAACGCGGTGTGGAGATGGCAAGGGCGGGTTGTGATGTTCACACGGAGAATTTCTTGGACGACTCTAGATGTTGAGAGAAGTGAGAGAGGTGAGGGTAGAGTAAGAATGATATGATCTGGGGAAGAGAGGAGACGGGATGTTAATTATTATTAAAGGACGAGAAGGGAAGAAGGAGAAAAGTGGAATTGGGGGGGGGGGGAGTGCGGTGTGTGAGCTTGATGTATGTAATGTATGTTTCTCGCATCTTATGATGACAGTGGGCTTTTCTCGGGGAGACAGAGAGGGGGGAAAGAAATGTCAACTAGGACGGAGAAAAGAGGTGTGAGGATTGGAGGGGGGTGTGAACAGTATCAAAGTGGGGGTGTATATGTATATACGCCTCAGTGCGGTTGGGGGGGTACGTATATCCCCAGGACAAGGGTACCTACCGGAGCCATCCCGGTGGCCGACGAGCAAGGATCCGTGCGCTTAGTCGTGGGGCTTTCAATACAGCAGGGATAGGGAGTACAACGCGGTCGGAAGAAGTATCAGTAGAGACAGAGCTGGTACCGCCCACGGCGCAGTTGCTGCCCTGCTGATCAGAACCTGGAGCTACGCTTAACCCTATGCGGAAGTTGAAAGTGTCTCTGGTATATACTGCCCAGAATGGACTAGACCGGTTCCGACGGTTCTATACCCGAAATGGTAGCATCCTCTCTCCCGACTCATGTGACGGTGGCCGGGTGCGTTTTCTGGCCTCGCTCAGCTAGTCAGCAACCCTTTGCCCCCCCCCCCCCCTCTCTGGGCTCTCTCCTCTTTACGGTACCCCGTCGTCGGTCCGTCTATCTTAGCTGGCCATCGGTACCGCTTCGCTCTTGTCTGCCAGCAGACCCTGAGTAGTCAGCAGAAATGCGCGCTTGGCTATACGAGTAGTAGGCTCCGCCGCTCCGGTTCCACGTAGTCGGAGCCGCCTTACCTTTTTTGCCCCAAACCCCCCCAAAACGGGCCGGACGTTTGCCCAATACGTTTGGCTACGCCGAGGAGGGGAGGCCAGAGCATTTCGACGCTTGAAGCTGTCTATATTGTGTGTGTGTGTATATATATATATGTATATACATATATATATTATGTACATCCGTATCGGTTGGCCATATGACTTTTTTTTTTCCCGTGTTTTTTTTTCTCTCTTCGGACTGCTATGTTCTGTCCGTTCTCGGCTCCGTGTCGCGAGTAATAGATAGACAGATGATAATTCCTATTGCAAGCCAGCGTTACCCCGGAAAGCGTTGCTTTTTTTTTTTTTTTTTTTTCCTTCTCTTCTTTTCTTTTTCTCTCACCAAATTACTGTCCCGGCCGCGTCAGACAAGAAAAAAAGATGAGGAGGGCTGTGTGACCGACCAGGCTTGCCGTCTCTTCCCATCTGACCCGTTGGTGTATATCACTCGCAGGGTTTCTACTCCGTAAGACGTCTCGGCCCTTTTCTCAGGTGCATTGTGGGAATTACAAAACGGTCATGGTGTCCTCCGTACATCATACGGTGTTTCTCACTGATCAATACGGGGAAGATGAATGGCTTAGCAGCACCCACAACGCCCACAACGCCACAGACGGAGAACGGGGAAGGAGAGGATTCAAGGCCATATGGACCAATGAATATATCAAACGTCGTCTGCCTCGCAAGCCATGTGACCGGCTGCCTCCTCCTCCTCCTCTTCCTCCCCCCTCCATCAACATGGCCTGTAATACGCTGAGGCTCATGCTCTCGTACCGAGTGAATAATGGCCAGTCAGATGCGCCGGCGTCCTACCCTGTCAGGAATAAACTCGCTGCTAAGAGGCGCCCGAGGCAGATCAAAGGGGAGAGACCCTTCCACCCCGCAGCCTGTCAACGTGTGACTCTGACTTGGCCGAGGGTCATCACTCGCAGATCCAGTGCCGTCTGGTGCTTGTATAGAGATACTGAAGAAAAATTTCTCTGCACTATCACGAGCTGATCGATTGATTGACCGAAATATCTCCCCCCGTATCTCGGCGCGTGATGCCACGGTCAGGCAGCAACGTTGTCCGGGGTGCATGTCGTAGCATCGTACCTATCATTGACCAGCCGGGGATCGGATCCCGGGGAAGCCCGGAGAGAGTGTGTGTGCGTGTGAGAGAGAGGGAGAGAGAGGAGACCGACGACCAGGACACGGACATTGTGAGTTATGTGAGTAGCGGTACGCAGAGCTGCACGCACTTACACTTGCTTGGTATACTCTTCACTACCTGATGCTAGAAATCACAGATCCCTTCATTACAACTCTCTTTCTTTTTCTTTTCTTTCTTCTTCTTTTTTTCTCCCCTCTCTATCTTCTCATTACGAGCTCTCTCTCGGAGGAGCCCACACAAGTCATCCGCCCCCGTCGCACATAACACCTTAACTGCGCCATCTTCCCTCCCCTCTGAACCGTGATCCATCCGTCGGTTGGGATTGCTGGACAGCATCTCTCATAGGGCTCTCGCAGCCGACAAGGACACGCGCAGACGGCAGGGGGGTGGGGGTTGAAGCCTTCCCCGGCAGCGTAGCACTCTTACCAGGATCTCGTTCTCTCTTGTCAGGAATTGTCGCAGAGGCAAACCGCACGGCAGAAGCTCCAGGTGACGGCCTATCAACCCAATTACCTGTATATACCTACCCTACCTCGCAGAGCCATCCCTGCCTCTCGCAGCAGGGAGCAGGGCCTTTGCCACAGAAGAGGGGAGTAGACGGACAGCTCTGGCACACGGGGCAGATAGCCGCTGCAAGCAGGACCCCTCCATCTCAGGGCGTCTTCAACCGCCGCGGCAATATCATTTCAAGGGTCCCCCCTCTCTCTCTCAAAAATAATAATAATAATAATAATAATAATAAAAGAGGGAGATGGGAGCGGGGGGGGGTGTCTGTGCCTGTCTCTTTCGGCCAGGCAGTACAACGGGTTAGGCACAGCAAATACAGTCATCAGACCGTCCTGCCAACTCATCGTTTGTCAGGTACACATGACGTTGTTTTTTTGGGAGGGGGGGGGAGGGTGAGAAGGGAAGCTGCTCGCATCATTTCTTCTCTACTCACCTCGTGGTCTTTCTACGTGTCACCGATTCTTAGACCTCTTTATGAGATCTCTCTCGCCTTTTTTTGTTTGTCAAGAGCCTGATATGAATTCTTCTGTACTAGCATCCATGAAAAAAAATTGAAAGCAGTCACGCGGCCTCTGATGAAGAATGATTTTTCATTCACTCACCCCCTTCCATCGACATGGTCGTATTTTCCACTAGTGTCATGCTAAAGCAGGAGAAGAGAAAGAAGAAGAGAGAAAAGCTCGGCAATTCTCATCCAAACAACTATCGCCCACTCACAGGTGATAGATATGCATATCCACAGCCAATCGATAAGCACCTGTATGGCTGGTAGCTGGGCCGTATTGCTGTGCTCGCTACGATATGACGATGGTACGACCCGTGCTGATGCTGCTGCCACAGTTTTAAAACTAGCCTGGAATGCCTCTCTCTCCCTCGTCCTGACGGAGGGGAAACGAGCGGTAGGACCTGGCACTCACCCCGACCGGGGGCCATACTACGACCATA